TGTTTCACCTGACTGCAAACACAGTAAGTTCCTATGAGTCCACAATATTGTGAGGAAGGATTTATTCAGCTTAAAAAACATCCCATGACAAACATATTGTAAAAGGTTAATGTGAGAAGAGCCAAAAATATCCATTTCCCAAGTGAGAGGTATGACAATAAAAATGGTATATCATTTTCATCACCTCCTATAAAAGAAAACACATCAAGTTATTTGGGTGTTTTCCTCTTTTGACTAGGATTTGAGTTTTAGCTAAGCCAGCAGCCAATCGTAAAACTACAGCACCACGCAGTCTTAGTAAAGGGCTTTATCTCATGTTTCTCAGTATATGCAGTATGCAGGAGGTAGGATGAGGATAAATTAATCTTTTTATTTTAAAAGCAAGGGTACTAACTCTCCGGGACAGACAAAAATAGTCTGCTCAAGATCGCACAACCGATCAATGGACATGACGTCAGATCCTGTGGTCCCATGTGCTTTTCAGAGACGAGATCACCATCAGAAAACTATCTGGGCTTCAGTGAGAGTCAGTTAACTCCCAGGGGCTTTTCCCTAAGTTTAGTTAAAGCAAGCCAATTAATTGTCCTGTGCCCTATTTAACTGATTCCTAACCATTTAGTTAGAATAAACTCATCATCTTGGGTGGCAAAGGGTAATCCTACAGACAATTTAAGCTTACGATCAGAAGGTAAAAACACAAAAGCATTTATTTCCATTAAAAAAGCCACAGAGTGCTATAAAAATTAAACAACTCACAACTTTTCCTTCTCTCCCACCCCAACATCCACATCTCTCTTACACACACACCCCAATATCCACCTTCTCCAGATACTGAAGGCAGCTCTGAAGGGGTAAAGGCACAAGTGCCCAACACAAATATTCAGACAATCTTTTAGTACTGGTTGGCAGGGTCCATCCTCCCAGCATGGCTGACAAACATAGATTTGGTCTACTTTTTAGTCCCAATCAACCCAACAGTGAACTAAAAACCTGAAGACAAGAGCATGAAACAAGCTTCATCCTCCTCTCTCCCCATTTACAGGGGTAAGATGGTGGAGGATGGGAGGATGAGGAGAGGACACCATTTCAAAATAGATGCCAAATCTCATCAGTCATAACTAAAGATCAACACTGTATGCATTTAAAACTTAATTTTAAAAGAAGAAAGCATCAAGGCTATGTTTGTGGCTCTGTCGCAGATATTTTTACCCTCATTCTGTAAATATAGTCAATACATAGAAACAGATTTTTTTTTTTTTTTGCCAATTCTGGGGCTTGAACTCAGGGCCTGGGCACTGTCCCTGAACTTCTTTTGCTCAAAGCTAGCACTCTACTGCTTGAGCCACAGCACCACTTGCAGCTTTTTCTGTCTATGTGGTGCTAAGGAATTGAAGCCAGGGCTTCATGCATGCTAGGCAAAGCATTCTACTATTCAGCCACATTCTCAGCCCCTAGAAACAGATTTTATAGGTAAAAAGTTTTAAAATGTTATCGACCCTATCTAGTATTTTAAGAATTCTAAGCTGAGCTGGTATAACTGATTGAAATCTTTGCTCTCTGGAAGTGAATTTGCTCAAATTTGCATTGTGTATTCTAACACTAAGATAAAGCTGAAACTAGGTAACTTTGATACTCCATCTTAAGAATGGAAAACATCCATTTCTCACTATTTCCCAAACCATAATCATATAGAATCCTATCCTACCAAACAACTCTGCAAATCCCAAAGACAAAGAGATGATTTAAAAAGATAAAAACCTTATTGTTTCTTTTATCCTTCAGTTTAAATGGTATCATTTTAAACAACAAAAAACTGCACACATAAGTTCTTTAAGTAGCATCTCTGGGGGTGGAGGGCAATACTGTGGCTTGAACTCCCAGCCTAGGTAGGCACTGTCCCATAGCTTTTTTTTTTGCTCAAGACTAGTGCACTACCACTTGAGTCACAGCTCACTTCCGGTTTTCTGGTGGTTTATTGGAGATAGGAGTCTCACTGACTTTCCAGGCTGGTTTTGAAGCTCATCCTCAGATCTCAGCCCCCTAAGTAGCTAGGATGACAGGTGTGACCACCAGCCCCCAGCAAGAAGTATCACTTTCAAGAACAGCTTAGTCACATTGAAAAAAAAAAATTACCCTTAGAGCCGTCAGAAGACAGCCACTGCTTAATGTTAGGCTAGGGACTGGACTATTGGATCTCACAGTTTCATTCATTCCTAAGAACTCTGTCAAGTATGTTACTATCTCTTCCATCTAGGAAGCAAGGTGTTCAGTTAAGTGAGGTGCTCAAGGATACAAAACCAAAGGAAACAATGATATGGACTCAGATTTACTCAGCTCCAAAGTGTTTCCACCCAATTTTCACAACAGACGAATGAGCACAGCCATGAATGGGTTTGTCCAGCAGTTTTAATAATTCCACCAAGGAGGGGGAGGACTCTAAATTGAAATCTCTTTTTGAAAACTGTAATGCCCAATCTAAACTCCAATTCTTTTTAATAGCAAATACATTAAAAGAATTAGAGAAATCAACAGGCATAGTTACACCGCTGTAAACCAAGCCCTCAGAAGCCGAAGTAGGAAGATCTTGAATTCTAGGCCAGCCTGGGCTACAAAGCAAAACCTTGTCCCAAAATTAAAAAAAAAAAAAAACTTACAAAAAAGGGGAGTGGGAAGAGTAGTCTACAAATCTTTCTGAAGGAGATTAAATTCCATTCTAAATGTACAAATGAAGTGTTTTTGTTGTAAAAGCTCCCAGAATTAATGGCTCTCGTCTATAGACACTGCCAGTAACCATTAAAAATCATTTCACCAGCCAGGACCAAGAGATCAGGAAGAGGGAGGATCAGGAGGAGTGGGGCAAAAAAAAAAAAAAAAAAGTTTGCAAAGACCCCATATCACAACAAATAGCTACTTTTGATGGGACTTGAGCCTGTCATCCAATCTAGGTGGGAAGTAGACATGCAAGAGGGTAGAAGTTAAGGCCTGCTCAGAAATAGAGACCCTTACCTCAACAGAAGATGTGGAGAGGGCTGATGGGGACTGGGGAGTTGAGGGTGGCACTTGTCTATCACCCTACTTAGGGCAGGAACTGTACTGTGGTCCAGAACAACCTGGGCAAAAACTGACACCCTATTTCAAATATAACCAGAGCAAAAAGGGCTGGAGGTGTAACTCAAGCAGCAGAGTGATTGCCTAGCTAGCAATTCAAAACCAAGCTGCACACCTTTCCTCTGTGTTAAGCCTTTTCCAGCAAAAACAGTACACAAAAGGAAATAAGGTCCCCCCAAACACAGCCCTTAAAGAGTTAAAAAGCCTACCAGAGTGCATTTATACTACAAGCAGAGTTTCATTTAGTCAGGCAAACAAACGAACGGTGAGAACCCCTAAAACAAAAGCCCAGAGAAGGAAACCAACTGGTGTGTACTTGTCACATTATTTGGTAAGGAGTATTTGCTGTTTGTTTACATTATGGCTCTCCCAGGCAACTCCTTTCAGCCCCTGTCAACCTCTCTTCCTTCCCACAATCACACAAAAACACCCAACCAGAAAAGGAAGGCGAAAGAGCAAAGACTGTGACTACTCAATCTTACACCCTCACAGCCAAATCAGGCGAAGAAAGCTGGTTTTCAAGCAAAGCCAACGAAAGTAGAACAACCCCAAGGCTTCTCCGCAGGAGAAATCAAGCCACACACAGTATCTGTTAAGAGTTTCCTCTTTAATATGTTAAATGACGCTTTGGCCATTTTGTTCCACCATGGTGGCAGACACTTTTAAGTCAGTTCCACCCAGAGGAATTTTAAGCAGTTATTAAGCTCTTGAGCACCGAACTCGGTGGGATGAGAAACACACAAAACTCAACGAAGAGACCACACTAATTTATATCAACTGATCCCAACTCCCTCTACAAACTCGGAACAGCAAGGAACTGTCTACATCTGCAGTATCTGTCCTGATCTGGGTATCCCAAACAGAAATGATGATGACGATTGATGATGATGATGATGATGATGATGGCGGGTACAGCTGCTTCTACAAATAGGGCTGGGGCGTAGGCGAACACACACACACACTCTAAAAGAGGGAGGGGGGGGGGAGAAGCATCCTATTTTGCACTTTGTGTTTGCCCGAAGCAACAAACTCTTAAAAGAAGTTACGGAAGGGGCAACGAACTGGCGGGGAAATCACGCTCCACCTCGCCTTCCTGGCGGATTTCCCGAGTTCACGGTGGGATGGAGACCCTTTAATGTGACACCCGCCCCCCCAGCCCGCCCACCCGCCCCCTCCGCCGTCCTCGTGCTGCAAACATGACTTCCAACACCAGAAGCTTTTAAGCACACACAAGAAGCATCAACTTTTTCTTCATGGACAGAGAGAGAGAGAGAGAGAGAGAGAGAGAGAGAGGTGGGGGGGAGGAAGAGGAGGAGGAGGGGGGAGGAAGAGGAGGGGGGGGGGTCACGTTGTTTATTTTCAAAGCTCGCCACAAACAACAACAAAGTGTCCCGCAAACCAACACCAACCCACCCACCAACGAGTCGGCCAAGCCTCCGGGTGCAGCGGCGCGGCGGGGGCCGGGGCGCGGGCCCGGGACGCTGGGCGCGGGGCGCTGGGGGCGGAGGGGGGGGGGCGCGGGCCGGGGCGCGCGCACGCGCGGAGCGCTCGGGACCCCGGCGCGCCTCCTCCCCGCCTCCTCCCCGCCCCGGCCCCCGGGAGAAGCCGCGGAGAAGCCCCCGGAGGCCGGCGACGGCCCGCGGCGGCCCATCCCCGCCACCCCCCCCCCCCCGTCCGCGGAGGGACACTGAGGCAGGCCCGGCCGGCCCTCCGTCGTCGTCCTCCTCCTCACACACACCTCCCGGCACCTCAGGAGAGCCCGCGCCGGGCGGGCCCCGGGAGCCGGGCGGACAATGCGCCCGAGGCGTCCGCCCCCGGCTCGCCCCCCTCCTCCGCCGTCCCCGCCTCAAAACTTCCCCCAACTCCGTCCGCTCGGAGCGGCCGCGCCTCACCGTGCGGCTCCCGGGGCTCCCCGCGGGCCGAGCCGGAACAGCCCGCGCCGACGCCGCGGGCAAGGACCACGAGCGGCTCAGCCGTGAAGGCAGGCCCAGGCGACGAGCGGCCGCGGCGGTGTCCACCGAGCCAGAGGCCTCCCCGCCGCCGCCGCTGCTGCTCCCGCCCGGCGCTGGCTCCCTGCACACAGCCCGCGCCCGCCCGCCGCTCGTTCGCTCGCACTACTCGCGCGCGCCCGCCCGCGCATGCGCCCAGGGATGGGCGGGGCCAGCCGGAGAGGGCCGGACCGCCTCCGCGCCCTCCGGTGAACGAACGCGGGGGGCAGGTCGCGCAGCGTGGATTGCACGGCACAGCTGTCCATCCAGGCCGAGACGACCAATAGGAAGACCTGTGGGCGGTGTGCTTAGTTGCTAAGGAAGGCTGCGGTCGGCCGCTGCAGCTGCCTGGCGGCTGCAAAGCCCTTAGAGTCGGATGGCTGGCAGCAGCTGCTGGAGGTGGGAGGGGGGGAATGCCCACCCACCTTCTCCTCTCCACCCCGGCTCCGGAAACCACCCTTCCTCTGCGTGCCCGGTGCTAACCTGCGCCTTAGCACTCAGCACACGCTGCAATGATTTACTCGTTTATCTGATTTGCGGATTGGTGCCTCACACACGTGCAGAATTCAAATCAGGAAAGTGGGGTCTTCGTGAGTACAGTGCTGGAGATCCAGTGCTAGGTACTCAGCGGTGCTGCCCGGTGGATGCCTGGGTGGGTGGAAGCGGCAATGGCGAGGGCGGGATGGTCACTCCGTGAACTGGCTATTTGATCGCCGCAAAATCATAGGCTTGGGGTGGCGAAGGACCTCAGAAATCATCCGGAGGCTTCCGAGAAACAAAATGCGTGGCTGTGTGCCAGGGCGGCCCCGGAGATTAGCTAGTAGGCGAAGAAACGTTGATAGTTACATATACACTTCAGTGTGAATTAGGGAGAACCTGGCCTGAGCCACTACTTAGGATAGATAGACGGATGGATGGATGGATGGATGGATGGGATGGATGGATGGATGGATGGATGGATGGATGACATAGATAGATAGATAGATAGATAGATAGATAGATAGATAGATAGATAGATAGATAGATAGATAGATAGATAGATAGATGACATAGATAGATAGATAGATAGATAGATAGATAGATAGATAGATAGATAGATAGATAGATAATTTTTAAAAGGCTAAATGGGAAGTGGAGGCCCTTTATATGCCATTCAAGACTAATTTAGAGTGAAGAATTGGGAATATCTGGAAGGAGATTATTGCCTAGGGAGGAAAGAAGGAACCTCTATAGGATAGAGTATCCATCAGTATACAGAGGATTAGTGCTCTTCCCATGTTTTAAACACTTTTTTTCCTTTGTGCTGGTACTGGGGGCTTGAATTTAGGGTCTAAGCACTGTTCCTTAGCTTTTTCATTCAAAATTGGTGCTTTACCATTTTAGCCATAGTTTTGCTTCTCGCTTTTTGCTGGATAATTGGAGCTAAGAGTCTTGTGGACTTTCCTACAGACTGGCTTTGAACCACCATCCTCAGATCTCAGCCTCCTGAGTAGCGAGGATCACAGGCCTGAGATACTGCTACCTAGCTAATAATCCCCGATTAAATACACATCAGGAAAGCCATTGTGAAGAATGGAATGGAGATTCCTCAAATCCTAGCTACTGGAGAGAAGGAAATTGTTGGAAATCACTGTTCAAGGCCAGCGTATGCAGAAAATCGTTTGCAAGACCTCAAAGAAGAGCTAGACTGGGTGGCTCAGGCCTGTTCTCCTAGCCACTGGAAAGCCTCATATGTGGATTCCACACACACATGCCCAGACAGAAAGCAATGCTTTATCTTTAAAATAACCAGCACAAATCAGAACTGGAGGCAGGATAAGAGTGCCTTCTTAATGCTGGGCATTGGGGGACTCACACCTGTAATTCTAGCTACTCTAGAGGCTGACATCTGAGAACTGCAGATCAAAATCAACCCAGGCAGGAAAGTCCATAAGACTCTTACCTCCAATGAACCCCCAGAAAACCAGAGGTGGAGCTGTGGTTCAATGTGTTAGAGTGCTAGCCTTGAATGAAAAAGCTCAGGGACAGTACCCAAGCCCTGAGTTCAAGCTCCATGACTGACAGAATAGAGAAAGAAAAAAAACCCACTAAAAATAGATCTACCATATGGTCCAGCTGTTCCACTTCTGGGCATATATCCAAAGGAAATGAGTTTAACATTCCAAAGAGATAGCCGCATGCCCATGTTTACTGCAGCGCTGATCACAATAGCCAAGAGATGGACTAAACTTCATTGACCATCAACAGATGAATGGAGAAAGAAAATGTGATCGATGATATAGATACATAACGGAATATTACACAGCCATAAAAATAATGAAATCCTATCATTTACAGTATGAAGTGCAATAAGCAAGGCACTGAAAGACAAATAGCACATGTTTTCTCTCATATGTATCTGGTGGTTACTGAAAGCTGGAAGGAAGCAAGGGAAGTGCATAGAGGGTGTTGTGCAACCTCTACCAAAACAGTTCGAGAGGGACAATAAGTTCTAGTGTGCGCACACAGTAGAGCAATTACCACCTACAATAACCTATTATATATTTGAGAAGAATGAAATGACAGGAGCTCATCTCCAAACATAAGAAAACAATAAGGACATGAAAACACTAATGCTTAAGATTAATCATGGCACAATTCTAAACATGTATTGAAATCATGGTGCTGTATCCTGCAAAAATATACATACGTATTGCATGCTGTTATATGTTCATATTACAGGCTCATTAAAAACAAAAAGCCAGTGCCAATGGCTCACATCTATAAGCCTCACTACTTTTAGGGGCTGACACCTAGTGGACAGCAACTTAAAGCTAGCCTAGGGCAGAAAAGTCGGGGAGATTCCATCTCCGAACAACCAGCAGAAAGCCAGACTAGAGGTGTGGCTAAAGTGGTAGAGTGCCAGCCATGAGTAAACAAAAGTGGTAGAACATGAGGTCCTGAGTTCAAACTCTAGTCAAAAATAAAATAATTTCTTTTTAAATCTTATTCTCCCCTGGTCTTTCTCTTTTGTATTACTTCATTTTGCTAGCATTCTCCCATTCTGAAAGAATCTTATTATCGTGCATGCATGTTTTGGTTATGTCTTCTACTACCACAAGAGCCCATTGACATCAGGTTTGTAACTCTGTGTTTCTTCTGTCCCTCTAATAATACCAAGTACACAGAAAGGTCTCAATGAAAGTTTTCCATGAATCAATTTAAATAGAAAGAGCTGCTACAGGAGGCACCTTGAAACTATGTATCCTTAATACTAAGGATTTGCTCTTCAGCTAGGTGCTAGTGGCTCAAGCCTGTAATCCTAGCTACTCAGGAGGCTGAGATTCTAAGGATCATAGTTTGAAGCCAGCCCAAGTAGAAAAGTCCGTGAGAATCCTATCTCCAGTTAATCATGCAAAAAAAAAAAAAAAAAGCCGGAAGTGGCTCTGTGACTCAAGTGGTAGAGTGTTATCCTTGAGCAAAAGGAGCTCAAGGACAGCGTCCAGGCCCTGAGTTCAAGCCCCAGGATTGGAAAAAAAAAAAAAAAAAAAAGATTTGTTCTTTAGTATGCATCAAAAATCTCTACAGAGGGTACCCCCTTTCACAGAAGGAGATTTTACCATTTTCATCATTTTCTTGCTTTCCCTGAGTGAGTTCACCAGTCAGCAAAGATGTTAGGGTCTCATCCAGCAATGGCAGGGTTTTGAATCTCTACAGTTGATTTATCTCTAATTGAGATACACAGGTTTTAATACCTAAAAACATAACAAGGATAAGTAAGCCCCAGTTCCCAGAGTCCCTGTCAGTGCCAGAGCAAATAAACAACAACAAAAAAATCAACACAGCTGGAAGAATGCGAATGTCTGTGGAGGCTCACAGTCCCTGAAATGTCCACCTTTGAAAGACAATTGCTGGGCTGAACTTGCCCCAGGGCTCTTCTCCCTTAGGGGCTGGACCTCCGATTGCTTTTGTGATAGGAGCAGCATCCACTTTCACCTCTTGTTTGGTGTCAAGGCAACTGTACCATAGCCCCCCACCCATTCCAAACCTCAGCCTACCAGTGAATCCTACCCACAGGCCACTGTGTCTCCTCTCTCCAGAGGCTACCCAGGCTTTAATGAATGTAATCCTGAGGGACCACAGATGGATGGAGCAAGTTACTTAATTTCTGAAACCCTTGCTTTTCTCTGTAACAACCTTTCCAGCGGTAGGTTTGCTTCAAGGCTGCCTGTGAGATTAAATCAACCTTCCAAAGTCAGTCTATTTCCAGCAGTAGTAGGGATAGGAGCTGCTAGGTAGATGGGAGGAAAATCACAGAAGCTTTAGAACCAAGGGGACCAACACTGACTTCAAAGTAAGTTGTGTCTATTGGTTTGTTTTTTTAAGGTTTTTTTTTTTTTTTTTGGTCGGTCACAGGGCTTGAACTCTGGGCCTGGATGCTGTTGCTCAGCTCTTCAGCTCAAGGCGAGCACTCTACCACTTGAGCCACAGCACCACTTCCAGTTTTCTAGTGGTTTATTGGAGATAAGAGTCTCACGGACTTTTCTGCTGGGGCTCACTTTGAACCACAGTCCTCAGAGCTCAGCCTCCTGAGTGGCTAGGCTTACAGGCATGAGCCACCGGCGCCCGGCTTTTAAGTAGTTTTAATATCTCTAAGTAGTTATGTAAGAGTTAAATACATACAGTTTATGCCGTCATCTCAAAATCTTCATTCTCCTTCATTGTTTCCATATTTGTCAGACTTTATTTAAGGGATTTAATATTTAGGGGGACAAAAGATCCAGAAATTCTCTGGGTCCTTTTTTTTTAATTCTTGAAGTAACTTTTGACTTAACATAATTTTGCTTATTAGGCCAGGTTTGGTTTAGGGTTTACTGGAAATGTAAGTTCCAGCTAGGAGATGGGGTCTGCTAACTCTGCTTCCAGAGAGATTTATGAGCTAGCTCAAGTACTGAACATTTATTTCCTCCTATTGCTTTCCTCTCTCTGCCCAGCCTTTTCCAGTTTATTCAGCTGCTGTGGTAATTATCCCCAATTATTTATAATAGC